CCCGTCAGGTATAATTGAAACGATCCTCTCCTACCTTTCATACGAATTAAACGAATTACTTCCCGCTTTTTTTCGTAAATTTTATCGACCGGTTCCAATAATCGGTTCGCAAAAACAGCTTGTAAACGGCGTCCGTTTCCTTCGCGAAGGTAAGGCGTGCGACTAACACCGCGAGCGGAGCGGCCACCCTCGTGTAAATATTACGGGAAATTACATCGTCTGGTCCCCCGACTGCCACGGGACAGTTCCGCGACCCTTTCTATCTGCCAGGGGATTAATTTAACTTTCCGTGGACGCTGGACAGTTCATTATCGGCGATATATAATCGGTCGGGTTCGAAGGCAGGTCGAAACGCGTTACGGAATAAATCTCTTCTCCTCCGTCTCTCCTTTTCACGACGACAGGTCTCTCGCCCGCGTCCTAACCCCCTCCCCCTCCTCCCCCCGCGGAGATCGGTCTTTTACATCGGTCGAGGTCAAACGTGTTAGATACGACGTGGAGGAGGAAGTCCGGAGCGCATAAATTCCCGCACCTCCCTCAAGTACGGAATGCAAAGCACCAGCGGACTGGCAGCTGATCGGCTCCGTATAACGTCGCTTCTTTCCCCCTTCCTCTCCGCCTCCCCCCTCGCCACTCGGTTGGTTTATCGTCGTGTATCGCGTCTCGTTCGTTGCGATACGTATCGCTGTTATTTACCGGACCGATTGCCAAAACAACTCGTTAAATCCAATCGTGAATGCCAAGCTACTTGCAAAGAAACCGGCGGGCGAGTCCGCCGGTTTTTTCCCTTCGTCCCTCCTTCCATCTCTCCCTCGTTGAAAGGCGTAAATGCGAAAGTGCGCAATAAAACTTTGCCATCCCGCAAAAGCACGATCACGCGGTGTAGCCGCTGCCCCGCGGCGGAAAGTCGCGAAGGGGATTTCCCTTCGCATCCCTTTTTCCCTCGTAGAAGGTAATGATCTCCTTTAAGCGGATGTTACATCCGTCGCATCGCAAGGCTCTTATTTTCCCGTATACGAGTCCGGAACGTTTAGGCAAATTTACACAAGTCGCACGTATCACATCCGGCAACTTCGTCACTTTGAGATTTTCAACACGGCGGAAGGGTGAGACTTTGAGAAGTCGCTATGAAACTCCGGATTTTACGTTCGATGCAAAATGCTTTTTGCTAAAAATAAGAGATCCTCGCGCGTAATTTATTATTTAAACAGGTTTATGTCGCAATTAGCTCGCGTGCATTTTTCTTCTTCCAACGTGATAGATTAGATTTTGAAAAAAGTATCAAAAATAATCCGAGTTTTACGAACATGAAGTTCTGTGAAATTAAATTCTCATTTTCCAGGTGCGCGTGAATTGTGTTTACATTTTACGGATTTCTATCCTCCCACGCAATGATAAAAAGCTTAAGAAAATAGTGCGCACTTTATCTTATTTTATCCATTAATCCGTTAACGTCGACATTTTCATGTAATCTTTATGTGATCTTTTTCGTAACACATGTATTGTTTGTTTTTGTTAGAGTAAACTTTATAATTTAAACAAATGTTCAAATTTGAAATAATATTTAAAAATTATTGAAAATGAACATATATATATATATATATGCATAAATTAGAAATTTATTATAAGAGATTTCTAATATTTGTCATGATATTAACTAAATGAATTATCGCGCACATTAAATACATACATATATATTTTTTTTTAATTTATATTCTTAGAATATTTATATTTTATTAAATACCTAATCCTTTCAATGATTATGCGACACTTTTAAATTTAATATTTAAAACCCATAAAAGTATCAGAGTGAATGTCGTATTATGTACGTAGACGACAAATCTTCCCCTTTCTAATCGAAAAAAAACTGTCAAACTTTTCAAAGACTAACTCTGACAAGAATTAGAAATCTCCGTTACCTCGTTATTTGCCGAAGAAGAAAACCGTCGGCGATATTTGCGCGCGATTTCCGCCGAGTGAAAAATCGAAGATTGAGTTTCTGAGCGAGAGAGTAACGCAAAGTTTGCGCCGACAAAGTTTTCGCAAAGTTTTCAAACCTCGTCCGTTCCTTCCTTTTT